TCCCACGACGGCCCTCTCGCTCGCACCCACTTGAAATCGAACATAAAAACAAAATTTTCGGCCTGACTAAATAGAAGTATCAACGCCGAAACTCAATTTCCAAACAACAACAAGCGGCGGAGCTATGTATATACAAATATATCAAACGCAAATACAATAACACGGGCATCAGGCGCTAAGCACACAAAACTTTAATATTTAAAATTTTCTATTGAAATGCCCGAGCAAACAGTTGAACAAAAAAACAGGAGCAGGAGGTAACAAAAAAACAAATCACAAAAAAAAATGTAAAAAATACATAAAGGGACGGAAGTGCCAAGCGTCACAGATTTTAAAGGCCATGATTGGAGGCTGGGGCACAGTGGTTCGAAATAAGTGAGGGAAAATTAATAAAACATATCATATATGATCTTAAATTAAATCCATAATTTAATTTATTTGGTTAAAAGTCACAGAAACACATTGATTCACATTTAAAGCTTATTGATGCTTTAATAAATGTATGTGAAACTTTTTATTGTTTAAAAAAATCGTATGAAAGCTAAATAAATATATGCAAATAAATAAACCCAAAAATTAAAAATATTATTGAGAATTACTCAATACCGTGAACCTGACCCCAAAAGTAGGCAGCATTTTTTTTTACGAAATAGAGCAAGCCATAAATGTCCATTTTGTACCAATAAGACTTTCCAAAAAATAAAAGTAGTATAATTTATTTGTTTTAATATATGTTTTTTTTTTTTTAATTCTTTGTAATTCATTTTTTAGTCATTTATTCCACTGTGTTTGAGGCGGCGCTTCCTTCCAATTTTCAGCTGTCATCGACCACAAAATAACAACAACAAGAGCGACTCGAACAACTGCAATCATAACAACACTAAAGAGGCAGAACACAAACAAAAGCAGCAACAACGTCGTAAAAGGGCAACCAAAATGAAAATAAGATACTAAGACAAGAAAGCAACAAAAAAAATGAAGGCAGGGGTAAACTCAGAGAACAAAGATAAAAATGCAAAGTCAAAAATGTTCGTTTGGATTTTCTGGAGTGCAGCAATTAGAGTAGACTTCCCTCTCCCTTTTACCCATAAAAAAGCCTTTCCTTTTGGGTGATCATATAGTACTGTCTCTTTCAGTTCACATATGCCCCTCTCTTTCTACACGCAGCTTCCGTTGTTCCGCTCCCAATTATGCGGAAACAACTTCAGCACCGAAAGTCGGAGGCTCAACTACAGTGATTACACTAAATAGGAGATTTAAAAAAAAATGTTATTATCCAATCAACCCAAATACCAATTTTAAATATTTGAAGGCTTATTTGTTCAACAAATATTATTTTATTTAATATTTGGCCTTTACATTTTATTCAATACCAAGTTTTAAAACTAACTACACCTTTTTCAAAAGAATTTTAACTGAAAACCACAAAAATTATAACGCCTTCACCAAATTTTAATTTGGGTGATTTAGTAATTAATTAGCTACAACATTTCCAATCATATTTAATTTTTTAGTTTACTTTTGCGATGGGATTTTTTGTATTAGTATCCAGTTGTTCTTATTCATTAGTATAATAATAGATACTTTTAAAATAATATGTAATACATCCCGAATTCACTGTGGTCCGCATCTCGTTTATCTGCGGCTCATTGGCATTTGAAACGTTTCGTGTTTCCGTCTACCTCCGTCTCTTTCTCTCCTTTTAGCCCCCTCTCTGTCTAAAGTCGTTTGTCGTTTCCACTAAGTAAGTAATCCCGATAAATAAGAGGAAGAGGCGACCGAGCGCCAAACGAGCATCCAAAATCCCAGGAAATATGCACAAAAATGTACATAAATTCGTTTGTAAGGGATGGGGGGTGGAGCAAACTGATCCACATGGACACGTGTGTCCCGCTCTATATGGCCCTCCCTGTCGCACCACTTAAGACTCCATATGCCCCTCTCACTCTGTCCGCACCTCGGCATACCGCTCAACTACCTCATCTGCCGTTCTTGGCCATTCATTCCCATTCATTCAACGCTTCATTGCTGCGGTAATTGCTTCCAAATGCTTAAACGCTTGCATTGTTGCTGTCCTACGAAACACTGGAAGAAAAGGTTGGGTAGCAGGGGTACCAATTCCAATTATTTCTGATTATGCAATTTTTGTATTGTTACAATCAATGGTTGAGAAAAATGTTGTAGAAAAATATGTTATTAATTGGCTAAATTATAATTATACATTATTAGAGCCTTTAAAAACTCAAATTTAAGTGTCAATTGAAAATTGAGTCCTTTATGAATTCCATAAGAAATTCCAAATGGTTGATGTGTTCGTAAACTCCAAATTTTTAAGAATAAAAGTAAATTTATTTATTTGTAAATTTTTATATCTGTTCGTCATTTTTTATTAGCCTTCATAGAAGTACAAAGCATGACTTGTAAAGTCCTTGTAAAAAAATTGGAATAGTTATAGCTAATTTGTTTTTCCTAAATGCCATGATATGTTTGGGGCATAAATTTCATGGTTTTTTTCGTCAGTGCACCCTGATTTCTTGGTGTCATCCCCACTCTGTACTATCTCTTCCGACTTCCAGTTTTCGGTTTCAAGTTGGGATGTCCAACATGTGTCGTCGTCATTGATTTGTTGTTGATGGGCATGCGACGGCTGCTGAGCTGTGCGAGTGAGATGGGGATCGGCCGTCTCGCTCTATTGACATTCGTCTGTCACAACCCAGAAATCAAAATCGAAAAAATGAAAAGCGAAACGAGATCCCAAGCCAAAAAAATCTCCAAAAGACGCCCCCCCTTTTGTTGTTTTTAGCTTCTGGACTAGGTATTTTTTTTCTATTTTTTTTTAGGAGGCGTTACTCGTAAATTTCGGCTTAAAAACATTTCACACTATCAAGGAGGAAAAGCCATGGGGCACTGAACAAAATCGGGGTATTTTTTAGGATTCAACATAAGCTTCACGTGTTCCTGATTTTGAGTAGGTAAAATTATGATTTAAATAAAGGCCAAAACATATGAAGTATTAATCCTAAATTATCGGGACAAAGTTGTCTTTAAAATAACATAAGAAGATTGCATGACAATTTCAATAAAAAGAGCTGTCATTATTCATTAGTAATTCAATTAACAAAATATTTCAATTATGTTAAATTTATATTCTTATTATTGTTTAAAGATAGCTTGATAATATATCTTAATGTATTTAGCATGTTAAGAAAAAAACCTTTAAAGTGAGTTAAAATTAAAATATTGCTGTGGCCCGTTGAAGAAGTGGGCGGTTCGTGGGTGGGAGTATGGAAAGTTCTCAGTTGCATTCTGGGCCAGCTTTTAATTATGGGCCTGGCCTTTGTTGTAAACATCTGTTGTGTCTTCTTCACATTACCTCTCTTGCCCTTTTTTTTGCATGCGCATTTTATTTAAATTTTTAACCCCATTCCCAATCGCGGGGAACAATAAGAGAGCGAGATGCCGGCAGCGTGAATTGTCAATACTTCTTCGAACTGGAAAATCTGGGGAAAACGGGGAAAAGGCTTTTCAAGTGCTTTGTCATGAGATCGCAGGGAAAACAGTGACACCAAATTTAATTCTGCCTATAAATCGAATCATTTCTTAGAATCCATCCCAATCACAATATATATATTAATATATATTTATAAAATTAATAATCTTAATATATGTCTTAATATAAAGTGAAAATAACAAAAAATAAATTAAACTTTAAAGTCCAAAGCACTTTACTTAACAACTATTTTTATTGAGTATAAAGCCTATATGAAGTGTATAAATTACTCGATAGGCAAGAACAATTTTCCAACTCCCACTGTGCTTTCCCAGCATTTGGGTGACCCATTCTCCGGTGGAAATGGAAGTGGCAGCGGGACTCTTTATGCCAGTTTGTCTTATCAATGTCAAGAGTTCGCTTTCCCATATAACACTTTTCCCCCGCGGGGGATGCCTTCTCCAATATATCGCTATACCTATCCATTTACAGCCAAGTTCAAAATAATAGTGGTGCACCTGTGTAAAATGACAATTTAAATGTAAACTAAATTTATTTGTGCGTTAAAATATTAAAGTTCTTTGATCAAATATGTCTTATTTGTTTTTTTAACAATTTAATAAAGTAAATAATTTTCTGTTCAGTAGTTTGTTTACATTTTATTGATAATATATAAAATAAAACAAAACCCACATTGTTTTATACCAATTTACAAATCAAAAAATAAATTGTGTTCCAAACATATTGACTAATAAATGTCAATAATTTGCTTGCCATAATTTTGAAACAAATTTTGTAAGGCCTGGAAAATATTACCACTATTTTGAAACCTGCTGTAGATTTATTCATATATATATATATATTTTTTCGATGTGGGACATGCTGTTGCTGCTGTCACTTTTGTGTGGCACTTCCGCTTATTTTTTCTTCTTTTTGGAACTGCATCTGCCGGCCACCAATCAAGATTTTAATGCGTCGGACCCGATGGCTAATTTATGCCGGGCTATAATATCACTTAAGCCCCCCGATATCTTCGGATAGCATAGCCCCCCAACCCTCCCCCACCAAAAAAAACATTGCTGTTATGTTACCGAAAAACAGAACTGTTATATCCTGTTAACATTCAATCCGAACCGACTGCCAACGACCTGGTTTTCAGGCACGAAGTTGCCTTCGTTTCAGTTCGCTTAAATTTAGTACAACATGCTAACCATGCAATAGAGAGAGAGGGGCATAGCCAGTGCGACAGAGAGGGAGCAACGCTCGGGTATTTTATTTTTAGCAGCAGGACGGCACGCGAACTCCACTATTTGGGAACACTTTTCACTGATCGAATGGGAAGCGAGGGGGGGCGGCGGAAAAGGGGAACAGTTTTCCCCACATTGTTTTTGCATGCGCGTGCCTCTGTTAACGACGGCAGCGCGGCCGACGTCGACGGCGACAGAGGCGGCACTGCGATGGCCAAAGAGCGATTTTCCTATAACAAGTTTTTAGTACGTGTTCCGCCGTGTCTGCAGACAGTCGTGTAATTCGGTTGCGTGTCGCTCGCAACAACAAAAAATCACAAAAAACAACAACAAATACAACAATAAAAACATAAAAATAAAACAAAAATAAAAAAAAAACTACAACTCCACACTGCATCATAACATCAAACAAACAACTGAAGTATAACCCCCAAAATATATCAGAAACATAATTTTTTGAAAGTGCAATCTGTGTTTGTTCCTAGAATTGATGAAATATATAAATATATATAAAAACCATGAGGAAAATGATAAGAAAATCTAAAATAATTATAAAAAATTCCAAATAAATCTCAAAAATATCTAAAAGATATTCCATAAAAACGAAAAAATAAATTACATTTTTTTTGTTATTGTGTGTGCCTGTGTTTCTGTGTGTGTTGGCCAACTTCCTGTGCAACCGGTCTGCAAAAAAATCAAACCCATTCATTCAGCATCCGAGGCGAGTTGCACCTGCAACTAAAAAATACAACTAAAAAAGAAGGCAATTTATAGAAGTAGAAGTTGGCGACATAAACCCGTTTTTTTGTGGGGAGGGGAAAATACAGCGCCTCCAAGGCCAAACACGATATCCACTTGGCCACAACAAAACACCTCGCAGGACCGCAAAAAAAGATTTAGCAAAAAAAAGAAAATACAGCTGTGAACAACTTTCCACATTTTCCTGGACATTTTCCTTTATGGTAAGTTGCGTTTAAAGCCGTTGGCTCACTTAAGTGATATGCTTACACTTAAACTTATATGGCTCTTGGCCTATTAAATGATACAGGTAACTTGCTGTTGGAACACAAATAGATGTTCAGTTATTACTTTGCTTCTTCTGTTTAATATCTATAAAAAGTTTAATTAAAAGAGTCACGCATTACAAAACTCCAAGTTTTCAGAGTGTTAAAAGTTAAAAATAACAAGCACAAGTAGTTTTTAAAATATCATGATTTACTTTGTGACTTATAGAATTAATGACATTTTAGAAGGGTCAGTAACCTATTTTATTTGATTAAATCATTGAGTTATGTAATCGTAAAATAACATTTAAAAAAAACACTATTTTAAGTTTAACAAGTGAGTGCAGTTGGAGAACTAACTTTCAATGCTAATTTTTGTAAAATTGAAATAAAATAATATTAATTTCTTTACTATAAATATAGACTGTAAGTGTGTTTATAAATTCCTGAATATATTTTGTATATCATTATATAAAACACCACTCAACTTTAACTTGTAATATAATAACTCGAAAAGTTTGTTTTATTTTCAAAAAGTCAACTTAAATAAGCCCAAAGGTTTTTGCTAGAGTTAAGAGGTCTGAGCTTCGTTTGAGGACTCAAGACCGAAAAATGTTTCTCCTTCATATTTGATGCAGCTAAGTATGCTATGCTTTATTTTCCCCATTTTCCCCCCGAGCTTTTCCTTGTTTGTCTTGCATTTAAGGGGCTGTTGCTTGAGTGCAAGTGAAATCCAAGCCCGGCCAATCAGCCAATCCATCAATCAATCAATCAATGCAAAATGACTTGGAACTTTTTTTGTTGTACATGTGGCGGTAGTACATGGTGAAAATGTTTCAAGTCAATTAGGAGAGACGCCCACGTCATAAATGTTGGCAAAAAAAAAAAATAAGGTGGGTGGGCGGCTTTCGCCCGGGGATCAGAGGTCGTATTCCGCTTCCGGACTTCGCTAATGGAATGACCAAAAATGCCAGACCTCCACAACTGAGCAAATTCACTTTGATGTTTTCGCTTTGTTGGCTAAACTTTAATATATATTCCGATTCCGTGTGCTCAGAGGCTCGAATTTTCCATGAAATACATTTTTGTCAATTAAAATTAATAGTACAGGGTTTATTCAACGATTTATTTTCGTTCAAAAAGGTACTATTTAACCAATTTTAGTCGATGTATACTGTGTTTGGTTTGATTTGAAAAAAAGTTGTTATTGGATACAATGGATATATCCAATTGGGAATGCATTTTTATGAAACTATCTATGGGAAATATTAATAAAGCATAATATAATCTAATAAGAGTATTCTAAATATACTTAATCGAATTGGATTTTTGGCATTGTGGATTCCATTTAATCAAACATGGGTTTAGTTCTTAAATTATATTACTTTAAAATTAAACAAACAAGCGGAGTCTAACAAGAAAATGTTACTCAAAAATAATAAGTATTAACACCTATTGGAAAGAAATATAAGAAAACCTACAAGTAAGAACCTTATTAGAAGAATTCCAATAGGATTCAATTAGATTTAATTGGACAGATTTCTACAAAAAATTAATAAAATAAATATTTACTTTATGTTCATTCATTTTAATAAAGATGTTCATAAATAGAAAAATTAGGTTTCTTTAAAATATGCGATTAACCAATGTTATTAGTTTTTATTATGTAAATAATAATCTGGACATCAAAAGCACATTTAATATTATCTAGGAATATATGTGTATATATATGTAGATATACACATATATATATACACATACAGCTTACAACTATTACCAAACTTTTGGTAGATATTTTTATGGAGCTAGTTAGCTTTTCAAATGGCCCAAGGCCAAGCTTTAATATAACAAAATATATAAGAAAAGTACCGAGTTCCTCGCTTTTGCGGAGAAAAAACAAACCAACCAACTTTGTGGGTTCACCTCTGACAGATTGGGATTTGATTTGGTTCAGATTCTCTCACAATTTAATTGTAGTTTCCGAGCGATTTACTTGAAAGTCTGTGAAAAACCCACCTCTTAGTTCCCACTCTATTAACTTTTAGCCAATTGCCAAAATGACAAAAACCAACAGCAACAAAAAATCTTGTTTGCCAATCAAATTTTTCAAGTGGAGACCACAACAAAGCAACTGAAGAGGGAGAACGGGTAATAGCGGAAAATTCGGGAAAATGTGGGTGGAAAACCTCAACAAACCAGACCAAAAATATTTCTCTCCTTCTCTTTTTTTTTCCTCCTGGTGTTTCAAATTTTTTCCTTGCGTTCGTGAAGTCATAAAATTTCTGATTTTTTCAAGTCGAAACTTTTCTAATCAAATTAAGAGTGGGGCAAAATAGGGGGATGTGGGGGCGTGGCATTGAGATGCTGTGAAAGTGAAAATTATCTAAGACATTCTAAAGTCGGTGGAGAAATAAAGTCTAAAGTACAGTACATAGAATTTCCGAGAATTTTCAAACATAATTATTAATAGAATTTTTACTTAGCAGAAAAAATATCTTGTTTTAAACAAAATAGAATGCACATAAATTTGTTCATATTTTTAGGCGAATTGGAAAAAGTTAAATTAAAAAAGTAGGAACGTTGGAATGTTGTAATTTAGCAACATTAAAACATACTTAAAATGTATATAAAATATTAACCAAATACGAGTACGAATCGCGTTTAAAATTTAATTTAATGGCAAAAAAACGTATCATCTGTAGCAAGCCAATAATCGAAAATAAGAACACATGAGCAAAAACTCAAAAGTAGAACAATAAATCCAGCGAATATTCGCCATACCAAATGGAATTCGTAAAAGTGCACACAACTTCACAGACTTCTCAACTCTGATCCCTTGCCAGTGATTTAACGACGTGAAACGCACTGTGCTGCCCCATAAAAATGTTCATCATCATTTGTTGCTTCGCCCAACTGCAAATGGGCAAAAGTTTACACATCTCAATGACCTTGGGTACCAGAAATACCCACCACCCACCGCCCCCACCGCCAAAAAAAAAAAAAACATATTTATTTATAAATGCGATGCGAAGAGCGGAGCGAAAAAAATAGAAAAGTTTGCTGCATAAAACTGAATTACCGGAAATTGGCCAACAAAATAAAAGGGAAATAAACGGCAATGCGAAAAAATGCTGGAAGCTCTTGGTTTTGGCCGAAAGTAGGTGGCCAAAATGGAGAAGAGGAAACGGAAAAGTTTTTTACCTACTTTGGAAAGCGGGAAGAAGCTTGGCAAAAAGTGAAAAATACACACGAATATAGGTGCTTATATATAAACAAGAAACTAGCGCAAAAACTTTGCTCAAAGCGAGGAGCAATTGGAAAAACAACAGGATCACCCTTTAAAATTTATATTTATAAAGTTAACAAACAAATATCGATGGGTATTAATGCAAAAAAGCTTACGCAAAAAGCGCAACTATTTTTTTTACTTTTATTTACTTAAAATCAACTTTAATAGTTGATAAATGCAATGCAAACATTTTCGCGAAATCTAGCTTGAAGTCAAAATAATTTACCTGAAATATAAATACATATCTTTGAAAATTTTCTGGACTTTACCCAAAAAATAACATATGATTACAATAAATTTAATGTTTGAAAATACACCACACAAACAATTAAATTTAAATATCAGATTAACATATCCCTCTATTTTAATTAAACTGATTAAATACATACTAATGTCAAAATTAAAAATACCAACAAAGGAAAACTAGGAAAATATGCGTTTAATTTCTGGTCTTTTTTCCCCGCTCCAAAAAGTGTGCCATAATTTCTGCATTTCCTTGGGTTTTCATTTAAATTTTAGCGTGCCTTTTTGCGGCTCCTGCTGCTTTTTGTTGTAATTGCAAGTGCGCCACTTGCTTTTGACACCTGCTTTTCATTGGGTGGCAAGAGGGGAGGGTGTGGAAATTCGCCGGGGGGGGGAACCATTTATTATGGCCAGCTTCTTGGCTTTTTCGCCCACTCCAACACCCATTTTTCCTTCTGCTCTTGCTTTTTTTGCGATGTTTTTGCTGTTGTTGGCTGACGCCGTTTGTAATTGACATGAAAATTTAATACCATAATTTTATTTTGCACTTGGCCTACACACCACGCCCACTGCCCACCGCCCACCGACGCCTGGTGTTTGCCTTTGTGCTTTTTTAGATTAGAAAAGTTTTGTCCTTGTTTGTAATTTTTATTTTTATTTTATGTATACATTTAGGTTGGGCTTTCTCTTGTTTTTCTACGCCTATGCAGCCTCGCCGAGAAAAGGGCAAAGTTTTCGGTCAACTCGAAAGTTTTTAAAGTGGACAAAACTGCAGTTTTCCTTTTTTTTCTAGCCGCTTCTTTTTTTCGCAGTCTTCTCGCCTTTGGTACACTTTTGCAATCGATCGATTTTAATTGAATAAAGCAGCCATTTTTGTATGTTCATTTTATTTAAGAACCCTTTTTTAAGAACTCTAAAATTCTTGTTAAATTTTTGAGTGCTAAATTCATGTTTTTTTTTATTATGATAATAGATTTCATTGATTTTTGTAACTCTTAGTGTAATTTTTGAAGCCGTGTCTCTTTAAAACTCTTTTTAAAAAACTACAAAACCTTCTGCAAGCATTTAAAACAATTTTAAAATTCCTTGAAATACTTAATGGCACTCTGGAAAAAAAATAGTCAAAGCTTTTCTGCATTGCATTAACACTTTTTCACACCGCTGAGTTCTTCGAAAAGCCCGAAAAAATATACTTACATACTTTACTTAATTATTATTTAAGCTGGTTCTGGGCAAAAAAAAAAGGTGCTCCAATTGAGCTGCGATTGAGTTGAGTCCGTCTCACTTTGGTTAATTTTCATTTATTTGCCGGGGAGCATTTTCATTTCACTTTACCGCCGTGAAAATGTTTCCCGGTTTTTTCCGGCAGGGTTTTCTTTGCCGATTTTGTTGTGTTTTTTTTTTTGTTTTTTGTTTTTTGGCCGAA